TGGCAGGGGGGTTGGAGTAGATGACCCACAGAGGTCCCTTCCAACCCCGAACATTCTGTGATTCTGTGATTCTGTATAGGACATGTAAGATCCATTCCAGGTATTGATTCTGGAGACCTGCTTTACACCTTCAATTGCCACCTCCAGGAGGGCAGGCACCCTCATTCTCCATTTCACAAGCAGGTCTGAAGCACAGAACGTGTTCTCTTCTGGCAGTCACATGCACACACAGACTTTGCTTCCACATTCCCACACATCTTTGTCACCTTCACCATCAAGCAAGTGTACTCTCGATCCCTTCAAGATGAAGGTAATGTGTTTTAAAGAAAATCACTAATGTGTCTGCGAAACCCCAGTCCCAGCTTCAGAAGATGTTTGTAAACTGTGGATAGACAACCCTTTCCAGACTGCTGTGCAACATTCACGATGATTTTAACCACCCTCTACCTTTCTGGATTTATGCTCTCCATCATCTAATATGGGAGTTGCTTATATATTAATGATTGTACACTTTTAATAAGCCAGTTTATTTTGACCTCAGTGGGACAAAGAACAGTTTTATGAACAGTTTTACTTGCTGGTGTCAAGGGGCAGTCACCTCTAGGACAGCAATATAAAGAGCTGGGACTGTACTGTCACACCCATATCTGCATGTGGATGACTGCCTACAGCTTCAGATACTCAAACCCCATTTTATTTTCTTCATTTAAGTCACATTCCAAAGTGCTTCAGAATAAAATGTTCTGGTATTTTCAGTTGACAGACAACTGTTCAGACAAAATGTTTTGATGACGGGGCAGGTACACTCAGCAGTATTAACCTACAGCCTTATTCCTCAGTCACCCCAGAACCTGACTGGAAACCACCCACCTCCCTCCCAGGCTCTACCCCCGTATTTCCTTCCTGTATCTACACAGGAGAAAGTGGGGCAGAAAGGGCTTGTGCGCACCCAAGCCAAACTTGCAGGCCAACAAAAGTTAGGATAAGCCAGGAATCAGGAAACAAGTTTCAAGGTCAAGAAATGTCAATGGCACTTAGACTACATGCATAAGGGACATTTGCAAAGTTCTATTTACTAGAAGTGTAAATTTAAAACCCCCCTCCCCTCCATTCTACCCCACATCAGTACTGCTGTGCTGGCAAAATCCCAGTACGAACACAGTTGTATCAACAGAAGAGATTTGAGATATTTTATGTCATTTGGTAAGGTGATGTACCTTTGCTACTGAAGCGAAGGCTATGAGGCAGAGCTCAGATTTGGAAATGTAGCTACAGGTCACTTTTGAAGTGTTGGGGGATTTTTGTTTGCTCTTTTTTCTCTTTTTTTTTTCTTTTTTAAACAAATAAGGACTGCTGCCAAGCTCTGTTTAATTCGGTAAGAATTACAGATAACATTCTTCCTGGAGAAAAAGGTCTGGAGTGCAGTCAGCTGTAGAGATGCAGCTATGAACAAAATACCCCTTTTAAAGCTACATATCAAGTAGTCACACAGCTACGTGTTTTACACTAGGGTGAGAGCTGGGTGCTTTAGGGAGGCTTAATGGCTAGGCTGAATAAATGGTGAGAAAAATAAAAAAATATTTGCTTACCAAACCAAGCCTGTTGTTCTCCTTGGACTTCTATAGCCAATCCAAAGTCCGCCAGTTTTACTGCTGCCCCCTTGGATTTGCTAGCTAAAAGTAAGTTCTCAGGCTTTATTCAGAAAGAGAAAAAAATTGACATGAAAAGATAAGTAAATACAGTTCAGACAAGTTTTTAACTTTTTTTTTTTTTTTTTTAGTTACTGTAGTCTGGAAAAGAGCAAGTACTTAGAGAAGTGAAAAAGCAAAAAAACCCCATGCATTTTCTCCATGAAATTGCAAAACCTGCACTTTCCATTCCTACTTGGAAAGAACCACCAGGCCTGTAAACAGCCTTCACAATCCCTGACAGCAAAACTAAGGACAGCGTGCACATCGACTAGAGCAGAAGGTTGGCCAGAACGGTCTTGTGGAACCGCAACACCTGTTTGCATGATATGACAATTCAGAGATGCCCAAGAGCTCAGTACCGGAAAAATGCCGCAGAAAACCTCCAAAAGACATGTATTCTTTGATTACTAGTCTAACCTATGCAGTTTGCAGGATTAGGCATCTATAACTGTCAAACATAAATACGTTTTGCATGACAACTTAACAATAACAGACATCTTATTATATTTGTATTTAGAGGGCGGGTGTATTTACATTGCAAATCCTTCAGTAAAACCAGCACGCCCACATTTGTGCTTGCAGAGAAACTATTGCAAATAACAACGTAAGTTTGCAAAAGTTCCCACTTTGCTTTTTTTTTAGGGTATGCTGGTCACATCTGAAATCAAATGCTACAGTATACTTACACAATTAAAAGTAAAGGATTTGAACACAACAGTGGTCTTCATTCTACTGTTCATCATGTATCCTTTTAACTCCGTTTAGCAAACACATCAAATGCAAATTGTCCAAAGCAAACTTAACTTTTTCTTAAAAATAAATCTTAAAAAATACTGTAGAATTCAACAGATTATTTCAGAGAACTGTGACCTGTATAGTATTTTCTTGCAATTTCTTTCTAAATTTCACATTTTTAAAAAAGGTTTTGTTCTACATTTACATGATAACAAAACCTCACTTTCATGCGTATTGCTAGGTCTCTTTCAGAAGCAATTTCTGCAATGATTTATCACAAGGGAATTCACTATATCCAGTCTGGCACTGGGGACCCAATCCTGCAAACTCCTAAATGCGTATTTCATTTTGAACCCAGCAGCAGTCATGTAGGTTCCCAAGGGACTACTTATGTGATTACAGTTAATCCCATGCAGGTACTGAGCTTGGAAACAATCAAGATCATAAGCTTCTTTTGGCAAAGGCTATCTTTAATACATCTGCCAAGTATCCAGCAAAATATGCTTGAGCCTAATTAAGGCCTCAGCCACAGTGATACTTCTATTAATTAACAACTTAACTGGCCCTGACAAACTCATCTAAATGTGTCTTCTTCCCTCTCACCAAACTCTAAAGGAACACTTTTTTCAGCAATTTACAAACACCATTCTCTCACTCTTCCCTTGTTGCTATGTCATAGAAAAGACAGTATTAAAAACATTTTGTGAATAATTCATGAATCTTCTATTTCCACATTTAAAAAAATTGAGATTAAGGTCTCTCAGAATAAAATATAATCTTTATATTCACTTAAATTGTCAGTAACCAATTCAACTACATTGTATCAAACACTGACTGAATGGCTAAGGACTCCTCTCTAGGTTCATCAACACCAATTTAAGCAATGTCACGCTGCTTATCATTTAACTACACTAATTGCAACACAGAGTCACATAGTTCTTAAAGGTTTCCTACCAGAGTGAGAGAAGTTTACAGCAATTACTTCCTGGAATGCACTTCTTAGATAAACCTCTTAAAGCAATGGGTGATCCTATTTGGTTGTGACCTTCAGCAAGCCAAAAGCAGTGAAATGCCTCACCCTCTGGGTTGAAACACAACCACTAACCTACCAAGCGCATACCACTCCACAAGTCGTGATCTTGTTCAAAATAGTAGTTTCGTGTTTTCTGCTGCTGGAGGTTTTTTTGGTCCCCGTCCCCCCCCTGAGATTTTTATTTCTTAATTCCATTATGTGTCTTTACTCTGCCAATCAAAGTGCTCTACAGAAATAACACTGTCATAGGTGAGTACGTTTCAGGAGAAGCTGAAGCAGGCTTCCCGATTTACTCCTGTGCCAAAGACAACCGCCTTTAGGGCAATGTTGTGTGGGACTATGCGATTCAACAACTTGCAGCTGTCACTTCAGGATGACGACAGGCATACTAGGTAATTATGATGCATTAACTTAGAATGACTGCAATTACTTGGAAAACATTAACAGCCCGGTGTGGGCCACTCAGGACTGGTACTTTGGATTTAATCGTGTCACCTTGTGTTACCAGCAGACTGGCTCCAGTCAAGCATATAGAATGGCAGCATTAACTACTAAAATTACTTACATATAAATTAACATGATTTACGCCTTATTTTTCCAAAAGTTTTTAATTCCTAGAGATCAAATACCTATGCCTCTGTGTAGTTTTCCTTGAATATAAACAGAGCATCTGCTTTTTGGGAGAAATGCAAGAGGGTCATAATCACAGAGTTTCACAAAAGCAGCAACATTGCTGACTGCCAAGAACTGGAATTCCTACATAGAAGTGCACTTTTACCATCTGTTAAAGACAGACTGCCATTAACAGGTTAATTTTTTCTGAATCTAGGATCCACCACCATTCTGACTTACACCAAGGATTACGAACAGAGCAGCAACAAGCACTTCTGCAGGTCGTAAGAGGCTGCAAAAGCTCCATTCTGTTTGCTACTAAACTAAGCTAAAAGGAAAGTTAAATAAAATGAGATTGTCCAAAATATCCTCTTCTTGTCACCCTTCACCACCCCCAAACACACCGCCAAATTGTGGTCTGACTTATGGGAAAAAAATCCATCAAGTTTTGCAGTTTCAGGATTGATGCCAGGCCATAACCATCTTCTACATATCTTGTAGTTCTGGTTTTGGGCCTTGGCATCTTCTTTTTGGTACATAGAGTTCTGCTGGGATTTCACCACAGTCTTCCATTTCACTCTCTGTTTTCTTTTTCTTTTGCCACAAAGTAGTAACTGAAGAAGGATGGTTTTCTACTTCCTGAAGTTACTTCCTGAAGTACTACAGCTTGGCAGAAACATTTTTTCTCACACTGTTTTTTCCAATTCATCTTGGATTTGCCAGAGGAAGAAATCCACACGTGGTCTGGAGCAGGGAACAGCTGGATTTAATGCATTTCCAGAGAAAAAGTTATTTTGCGTGAATGCATGAAAGGTACCAGAAAGCATTCCTTGTTCTGTCAGTCTGCATGGCTACAATCCTTCTTTTCAATTCCTTTTCATGCTACAAGCACAGTACTGCACGTACAGTGAGGACAGGAATCACTGGAGCAGCTGGACAAATTTGACATCCTTTCATTTAAATTTGTTCCATATTATCCAACTGCCACGCAAGATTTATGGATTGGATAGAGCCATGTCAGTCTCCTGTTGTACAACCGTGGTGCAGGAAAACCCAGAAATGCAAAATGGATAGAGAATTTTGTGTGCTTGTCTTTGAAATCCATCATGCTCTCTCAGCTTTCAGAGCGTAACCTCTTATGTTCCTACAGGACAACGGAGACTTTATCAATTCAGACAACGACTGTAACAGTTGTTTATTTGGGACTGAAGAATGGCAAGAAAGATGACGGCATTCTGATTCCAACGTTATTACTAATGATAACCACTAGAAAACTCCTATCCTGGGAGGAAATTTCTGCTCCCCATAACTCATTCAGAAAGGAAAATAAGAGACAAAAAAGCTGGGCCAGTAGGAATTAGTGTGTTTCACTGCCTTAGCCCACATGCCATTTTCTCCCTGTCTTTGTAAAGAATCTGGTATTTCACACAGCACACTTCCATTCGATTTCAAAATAAACAATCTTCTTTTACTTGAGGATATTGAAGCCCAAGTGCCCAAATTAAGTCCTCTCCCTTATCCACAGGGCTAGTTTCCTGCCAGCTTTGAGACAGACTTGTCTCCCTCTGAGCTTCCCAGTAACAGAAAATTATCTTTACTTGCTTCTCTCCATGCCAACATGCTTTAAATGCAGAGAGCATTTCTGCAGCAGACGTCTCCAGCCATTTGGGTATGTATACGGTTAAGAAAAAGGTAACGCTCTCCTCAGCACAGGGATTTTTCTTTCTGAAGCTCCTATCCCAATGCTACCGTTTGTCTGGAAGGAACTCCACACCCCAGGTGACCACGACGAGGGCCCCATAGAAATCCCCGCTTCCTAAAGACGTCCTGCGGCCCAACCATCATCTGGAGGAGAGAGCGGTCTCTCTGCGCCAGTGATCTCCCAGCAGCCCGCCCTCCGTCACCAAAACACGTGGGGTGAGAACCTTAGCACGCCAAGTTACGCTGATGAGACAGAAAGGTCTCCCCACAGCCCACCCCGAAAGCCCTGGCTGACAGAGAGGAGGACGAATGCACCAAACGCTCGACAGGCCGGTGCCGTCCTCCCCAGTACTGGCACGGGGTGCCAGCAGGCCGCGGCGCCTGCCCTCGCAGCCCAGATCCGGACAGCTAGGCGCGGGCAGGCCTCTAGCAGGTTCT